TCATCTTAGCTACACTACACGTTATGTCCTACTGACATGTTGTGTGCAAATGCTCAAATAACCACGTCTTTTTCCACCAATCTGCAATGCATTGGCTTATTTTATCTTCCTACTTTCATAATTCCATTCAGGTGAGGTTATATCTGCATGAAATGGATGCAGTCATCCATGAATGTTACCCCTCTAGAAAGCTCCACTGTAGGGTGTCTCACTCCATGGGCTTTCTCCTTCAATTGTTTTAATTGAAGGGAGCTCCTCTAGGTTTTTACAATTGCACTGGCCCCTCTTCAGTGTGGGATTCTAGCTATAGTATGTTGAGAGGTAAGAATATCAGTTTGGAAGTTAACATTTTCCTTATCTGAAAACGTATTTCCGATAGACACAAACCTCTCTTCACACCTTTCCACTCTTCCTTCTGTCTGCTGGTACACATTATTCTTGCCTTGTTTAAGAATGAAGTTCATTTTGAGTGCAGTGCTTATGGAGATCTGTGCATTGTTTGAAGGCTACTGTCACATAATGGTTACATCATGCATTAGCACAGTTAACGTTATAACATGTCTTAGGTGGGAGATAGATCAAGGCTATTGGTGTGCAAAATCTCAAATGTAATTGCAAGAGAAATAGTTGTTGTGTGAAGAGAGAGATGTTTCAGAAATAAATTTTCAGGTAAGAAAAATGTTGATACTTTCCTATTTGACCCTTCTGAAAGGAGTAGGTTTAATGTATTTCTGTTTTTGTCTTTATTTGATATTTATAATTTCACCTCAATACTAAAACAAATAAAATGTCAAATTTCTTTGAAAGGTATCCATATAGTGTAAAGTGGTTGTTTACCATTGTTCTGGTTCATGTCAACCTTTTTTAGCTTGGATGGTAATAGATTCTTTGTGGTTTTTTTATTTCAGTGTTTTCTTGTTTGTTGAATACTTTTGTGTTGCTCAGGTCATTTTGTAGCTGCTTTCCCAAACATGCTTAGTTGTTGTTGTTGTGTCTGTAACACAGCTCCTGATGTTTCTTTGGTAGTCTTACTTGTTGTGATCACCTTGTTTGCTCAGTGTATTGTATTTTACATTTACAGTATGGGTTGTTTGCTACACATAACATTTTCCATGCAATATTTGGTAAATTGCGACTTCACTCTGGCAAGTATATCTCTTAACATAGAAGGCCCTTGAAAATTAATGTGAGCTTTAATTTATGTAATATTCTTCTAAGATCCAGTATGTAGGGTAAAAGTATTTTTAAAAATGTTTAATTGTCTCTCTGCATAATAAAGAGCTATTACCATGTGTCATTGCCTTGAAAATTTTTGTGCATGCCACTATTCCTTAATCGAAGCTCCCAAATTGACCAACCTTATACAGAGTTAGGATATAGAAAATAACAGATAAGATATAAAGTTTTACTGAAAAAAAAACATTTGAAATTTATTTAAGGAGTTTTAGAGATTATGGAAATGAAACTTGAGAATATTCAGATGAAGCAAAGTATTTTTAATCATGGAGAAATTTTAAGTAAAAATACATCATTAAAAATTTAGATTTTTTTGTGTATAAAAGACTTGATGTTTACTGAAAGCTTGCCAGATATCATGAAGATACACAAAACATATTAAAATGTTATAGTATGGAAACTCTAAAGGTTGATTTAGGGTCATGAACCAGGCTGATTCAGCCGAGCCCATAGCAAAAGTGTTAATGTATATTGTGCCAGTTTGTGATCTAATCATTATACACATCCTCCATGTACAGTAATCCTTATTTGAATTAAGAATCATTCCAATTCTCAGCATTGCTTTGTTCAAACATGTTTTTTTCTTAGGAATTAATAACATTTTAGTGTTTTTTTTTTATTTAAAAGTTTTGTTATCATTCATAGTTTAGTCCTTTCTTTAATTTTTTTGATTCTATGAAAGAAGGATACCAGATTTCAAACATCTCATTAGTATTCGATGATTTGTCATTAGTACTTGAATTAAAATTAACTTAAATTTGATTTTTCCTTTTAATCCCAACTTAGCTTTTTGGACTTGTATCCAATAGGCTTGTGATAAGCTGTTTATCCTTTTTTAAAACCAGTGTACTAGTTTCATTAAGTACTATTTAATGTTGTTTTGATCAAGTATAAATACCTACATTATGAGTCTTAAATATCAATATTACTTTATTTTTTACCTAGTGTTCAGTTATATTTAAGGGAATTACTTTACTGTGCTATATTCAATTGTAATATTCTTGCTAGGTGGTAATTTTGAATTTGTATCTGTTAGTTTTCAGTTTTAACTAATTTTTCCCAAGTTGTATTTTCTGTTCAGTTTTATTTATTTTATAACTTAAATTTTTATCCATATTGATTTTGTATATATATTTTTTTATTTCATTAAGTTTACTTTCATTCTATTTTTCTTATTTGTTTGGCTGTTGGAATATTTTTTGGTATGATAAAATTTATATTTGTTTGTGTGTATATGTTGTTCATGTTCTGTAGTTAACACCATTGTAAACAAGATGTGAATAGTTGTAAATTTGTGTCAATCCTAACTTCAGGCTAGTAATACATACCAAAGTGGTAATTTCACAGATCTTATACTTTTATTACATTGCTCCCCTGAAGTGTAGGTAATATTCAAATGAAGGGATGGTATAGAGATTTGTGTAAGTTAGTATAAGCTGAGAAATAAAAATTTCCATAATTATGTATAATGAGAATGATCTTTGAGTTAGGTAATATAAGATTGTGGGATACTGCACTTGGATTTTGCTTTGACTTAATAGTGTGGTATATCTGAGTCTTGCAGTCTTCATCTTATGTAGACAACTGTTTTTGCAGCTCTAGCAGATAGCTTGCCCAAACTTTCATTGAAACTTGCCATGTTAAAAAGGACCCTAATGCAATTATTTTTTCCTGCTAAAGTGGATTTAATGCAAGTTTTACTTGCTGTATACTTGTGTCTGAGTTTACTTTTGCTATCTATGGTTTATTTATTCTTTGCAAAGCCTTTCCTTAATATACTATTTATTGCAGATCTTGATACTTCTCTGTTGGATATTAGTGAACCTAAATACCATAATGTAAACATTTTAGGTGAAAAGAATGAAATTGTTTTTTTATAAAGTAGAAAAGGGTTCATTTTAACACTTGCCACAGGTAGGCCAAAGTGTGCATGTCATGACTTTTTAGAGTTGCATTCAAAATTTAATTAAACTACTTTATTATCATTGCATATAAATAAACTTGGCATCAAAATATAGTTTGCAAAACCTTTCCTTAATATCAAAATGGTGTATTTAAGTGTTTTACACTCACAAAAAAGAAACCTATCATTCTATAGATATTTGAAGAAATTTAGCATTCCGCCACAATTTAATTCTTCGTATTGTTAGCCTACACTAGGCAGCTGGTACATAATTGAATAGAATTGTTTAAACATTTGTTTAACAACAAGTAAAAGCTTGGAATGGTCTATTCTTTCATTGGTGGCCAGACTAGTTTCAGAGAATTCCACTCCTCATCAGCGACCCTGGACACTACCACCAATGAAAGTTCAGACCAAACCAAGCCTAGTGAGGTATCGAAAATCAATATGGTGTATTTAAGTGTTTTACACTCACAAAAAAATAACCTATCATTGTTTAAACATTTGTGTCCAGGGTCACTGATGAGGAGTGGAATAGATAGTGGATAGATGTTTGAAATTATTGCAAATGGTTGGTTGACGTTTCATCTGTTTATTTTGGAAGCCACCTTTATTTAAACACCTAAACCTGTCCTTTGCTGTCAAAAAGAATTTGTATACAGTCTACACATCCTTCAGTGGGTCTGTGACATTTCCTGATTGGTTAAAGGACACGACAATCAGTGATTGCTTTACTGGCTTACGTTGATCTGATTCATTTTATAAGCTGTACTAATTCCTATTGATCATTTTCCAGACGGTTCTGCTATGATTAGTGTCTGGTGAAAAGCTTCAGCAGATATTTCTTTTGTAACATCTTGTCCAACAATTGGTCCAGTTATCAACACTATTTTCAAGTTTTGAACAACTCTACTTTCAAGATCTACGTATATACATTAGCCAATGTTTCCATTTATGAACGTTATATTTTAAGATCTGTGCAAGAACTCAGCTAAAAAACGTTTCCATATATCAAAGCTATTTTCAAATTTTGTACAACAGGTTAGATTATGTAAGATAAAAGTATTAATTTTTCACAAGGTATATGCTTGCAAGCAACTCCTCATGCATTATGTAACATGATATGGTAATGTGAGCTATATGGTGTTCTTCGAGTGATTTACAACTTGTGTGGTGGGATTATCAGTTAGACATAGTTCAAAGGGCAGTAAAACAATAAAATTTAAGTAGAAATAAATGTATACTGTTTGGAGTTTTAACCAATTAGGATAAACAATTGTAGTTTTCTGTTGCAATTTATAGTCATTCCACAAAGAGAAAAAGGTAATTTATGTGTATTTCATATTTTTTTATCATGGTTATGAGGTTGGTCACATTGACCAGATGCATATACAACTAGGGTAGAAAAAATAACAGATAAAATACAAAGTTTTACTGAAAAGAAGCATTTGAAATTTATTTAGGAGGTTTTAGAGATTATGCAAATAAAATTTGGCAATTCTCGGATGAAGAAAAGTATTTTTAGTATTAACATGAAAATCACTTTACTCGAAGTAGTCAACACTTTGACTTCATATGTTCAGAGATAAATATTTAGTAAAAATATTTCATTAAAAATTCTGATTTTTTGGCTAAATAAGTATTGTGATGTTCACTTAAAGCTTGCAAAATTTTGTGAAGATACACAAAACATATTAAAGTAATAGTATGGAAACTTTAAATATCAAATTGAGGTCACAAACATAGTTGATTTGACTGAGCCTGTTGTGAGAAAGTTAATGCTAGAAATGATGTTTTTGTATAGTCTTTGTAAACAGTTGTATATATGTACTTTATTGGAATTTTTTTTGAAACACTGCAGGGGAAAGAAGAAATGTTTTGGTGCATGAAAGAAAAAAATTCAGAGGAGGCCATGAGTTACTCGATCCAGAATAATGCAAGCAAAGTGATTAAAGATCTGTATAAAGTACTGCCCATGGATCGAGAAATTAAACCTTGTGATGATGCAGATATTTACCACACTGAAAAGTTAACAGTATTTGATTGTCAACAATCTTTCATGGATACATCAGTTTTTTCATCAAGATCTGACAAAAATAATCTAGTAGGTTTGTTTACAGATTATGATAAGGTTCATGAGAATCTAGAGAATAACCCTACTGTGAAAACTGAGCAACTTAATAAATTTGAAGAATTTTCCACAATGGATGAGAGGAAAAACAGTGTTTCAGAAAAGTCCCCATCTTTTGCAAGGTCTCTGTTAGAAGTTGATTTAATAACATCAAAAACTTCTAAGCCTTCTATAGAAATTTTAACAAATGTTAATGAGCAGGAATTTACAACAGCAAGTGGAAAAGAACCTTCAGTTTCAAAGGCATCTTTTAACTTTGCAAAATGTTTGTTTAATGAAAATATTTCAGATGAAATGAATTTTAAACCAGAAGATAAAAAACCAAAAAATACCAGGAATCATCAGTAGGAAGTGAAGTCTCCATTTCATACAAATCTACTGTCACCAAGCTTGAGAAGGAAATCAATACTTCAGAAAAATGTTCAAAATATACAGAATCATTGCTTCATGATAATGTGCAAACAGGTGAAATTACCAAGCATTCTTTAAAAAACACTGAAAAATATTCAAGTTTTAGAGGGTTATCCACAGCAGGTGGAAATAAAATCTCTATTTCAGAAGATTCTTTAAGATTTGCAAAACTATTTTTTAGTGATGACTTATTGGAAAGTAAAAACGCCATATGTGTTTTAAATGACTTTAAACACTCGCAACTAAAAGACGTTTCATCAGCTGAAGTGAAGGAAATAAATTTTTCTTCAAAGGCTTTAAAGTTTGCAGAATCTCTTCCTTATTCTGGTATAGTAGAAGATGAACATATAGAATACTTAGAAAACAGTGAAAGGCATACAGGAACCAAAACTTCTTCAGTTATTGCTAAAAGCGAGGTGTCAGAAATTAAAAACAAAAGTTTTCTTTCATGTAACACTGAGCAACATAAACTCAAAAGTTTGTCTGCATCAGGTAGGAAAAAAACTGTCTCCGAAAAGTCTGTGAAACTTGCAAATACTTTGCTTCATGATAATCTACCAGTAAATGAAAACATCAAGGTTAACATGAAAGATATTGAAGAAAATTTAATTTTCAGAGGGTTTTTAACTGCAAGTGGAAACAAAATTTCTTTTTCAAAAAAATCTTTAAATTTGGCAAAATCAGTTCTTCATGATGATGTGAGTAGTGAAAATACCACGTCTACTGTAAAAGACTTCAAACAATACCCAGGTTTGAAAGAGATTTCAACAATCAAAAGGAAGGAAATGAATACCTCCAAGAAATATTTAAAAATTAATAAATCTCAACATAATGGTGGTATACTTAAAGAGGAAGTTAAAGAAAACATTAAAAAACCTGAAGTACTCGCACAATCTTCAGTTATGCTAAAAAGTGATTCATCACAGGTTGTAAATAATGAACCTTCTCCAGGAAACACTGAGCAACATACATATTTCAAAGGTTTGTCTGCAGCCTGTGGGTCAGACATTTCACAAAAATGTTTACAATTTGGAAAATCTCCGCTTTACAATTATTTACCAGCAGATGAAAATACCAAGCAATATTTAAAATTTAACAAAGAATATTCAGTTTTTAGGGAGTTTTCAACTGCAGGTGGGAAAAAAATCACTGTGTCACAAAATTCTTTAAATGCTGCAAAATCTCTTCTGAATGAGGACTTACTGAGAAGTGAAAATACAGAAAAAGACATTCAAAAACACAGAGAATCAAAAGAGAATTCAGCAACTGATACAAAAAAAAGTTTTTTAAAGAAGTCTTTAAAGGTTGAAAAATCTCTGGCTAATGATGATCATGATGCACTGGGAGATGAAAATTCAGTATATTTAGTAAATATTGAAAAATATGGAGATCACAAAGGCTTCTCTGCTAAGCTAAGTGATTTATCAATTGACAGAAATAAATTTTTGATGGAAAATGCAAAGCAGCATATGAACTTTAATGGCTTGGCTACAAGAGGTGAGAAAGAAATTGTTTCAGAAGAATGTTTGTCTTATAATAATTTATTAACAGATGAAATCACTAGTATAACTACAGGCAGAAATGAAATCTCTGTTTTAGAAAATCCATTAAATTTTGAAAAATCCTCCCTTAATGAGATCTTAACAGAGAGTAAAAATATTGTACCTGTTTCCAAAGAAGTTAAACAAAAGTTAGATTGTAAAGAAATTTCATTAACTGATTCAAAAGAAATTAATTCTTTCATGAAATCTTCAAAGTTTGCTAAATTTGTACTAGGCGATGCAGTACTTAATGAGATGAATACAAAACGTTTAGAATACAGTGAAAGGCATGAACAACATAAGGTACACAACTTTTCAGTTATGGTTAGAGATGATTCATCAGAAAATGAGAAGATTAAACTTTCCTCAGAAAACAGTGAACAACACTCAATTCTCAAAGGCTTTTCAACAGGAGATGGAAGGAAAATAGTTGTTTCAGAGAAATCTTTAGAGTTTGCCAAAAATATTTTTAATGAAAATTTGTTCAAAAATGAAAACATCGAACCTTCTGTGAACAGAGTTAATCAACTGACAAATCCTAGTAGTTTTTCATTAATTGGAGAGAAAGAAAACTTTGTGTTAATGAAAGAGAAGTTATCTGAGAATGACATATTTGTTCAAAAAGAATGGTCTACGTCTACTGGTATAGCAAGTGAATCAGAACACACACTTGCTTCAGAGAAAGTTTTACTCACAGACAATTTACTTGATAATAAAGATTTAGTAGAAAAATATAAACCAACCAGTTGTATTTTGAATGCAAATTTAAACAGAGTATCTAAAGCATTGTTAAAGAATCAAGATGTTCCATTAACTGAAAATAAACAGTTTGCTTTGGATGTGGAAAAAGAAGCTGAAAAGTCTGTGTGGTGTTCAGATGAGCATAATGTAATTGGAAAACAATTACTGAGTGAAATTCAGAACTTTGCTAAAAGAAAACAAATAAATTGTCTTAATTCAGAAGTCACAAAAGTGGCTGACAAGAGGCAAACATTGAAAAATGATATGAAAAGAAAAGTAGCACAGGAGAAGAGTGATTTGATTTCTGTTGAAGATACACATTTGTCAAAAAAGCCAAGGCCTTCTGTTTATCATTGCTGCTTTCCACCCGAACAGAAGACCTGTAAAACACCATTGCATGTCATGTCTTCTTCAGTCACACATGACAGACGACCTGCCTGTTGTTCTATACTTTCAGTGTCTAGTAATCCACTTTACTTTCAGCCTGTTGTTGATAAGGCCTCCTGTGATCAAGCATCTTGCATCTCTGACTTCAAGAAATCTACCTTCATCACACCTTACAAAAAAACAAGCATTAGCCCAGTTGTGCATAGAGTAAAGCGACCACGGACCCCAACAGAAGATGTAACTACTTTTCCTTGGAAAAAAATAGTAAAGTGTGATGACATATTTTCAAGAACATACCTACAGAACATGGTATGCAGTAAAGTATCTGAAGTAAAAGATGCAATAACAGGAATTCAGCAACCACAAAACAAGGTTTTGAATAGAGAAACAGGAAAATCTCAAGCTATATATCACAATCAATTGGAACTACACAAAAAAAAACGAGAAGTTGGATATAAACAACCAGGTGAAAATCAAAATAAAGTTCATCAAGAAGATCTGGAAAAAAATAAATTATACTTTCAAAAAGAGGGAAAAATAAGAAATAGTGTAAAAATCCAGGAAAATATGAAATGTTTTGAACAAGATATAAAGTCTATTAAAATTCAGTCAAGAGATCAGCCTCAAGGAATAGTTAACTCAGGAGACCAAATGCTGAAAGTTGGATCAATAAAAATGAATTCAGAAACTCGGAGAACAGTGAAAACTAACTTAGGAGACAACAAGACAGAGAAAATTAATTTAGCAGAACAGAACACCATACAAACTAATTCAAGAGAAAAGAAAGTTCAACCAGGAATGTTGTGGAGAATGATTCATATGGAAAACCATCTGAGATTTAAACTAAAACAGTTAGCTGGGAAGAAGTATGCTAGTGGAAATCCTGAAAAGGTAACTGATAGTAAAATGATTTTTTTTTATTGAAGAAGAGTATATGAAAGACTACTATATACTGAAGTTAAACAGTACTGTATTAGTGGAATATTTCTGCTTCATTAAGTCAATGTATTGTGTATCCATGATTGATAATTTCTTTTATAAAAATAGTTACACAATGACTGATGTTATATTCACCTTACATTCATTTTCATTAAGTAGTATTTTGATGTTGAGATTAACATTATTATTTTCTAAAAGGTGACAACTTTCTAGGTTTAGGTTATAGTATAATCTACTGTAATACTGATGTTTAGATTTTATAAAATTGTATGAATGATTGAGACTAGAATAGATTACATATTTAACAGGAATTTGCTACAAAGCAATATGAATCTGAATTTCTGTGGTGTACATCCAATTACTGCTAGATAAGAATTGATCCCCATTTTAAAGTTGTGGCTGCCTTATAAGAGTGTTGATCAAATCTTGCTATTTGATGAAAGTAGCCCATGAATTTCCAGTTGGTGGTGTTGAGTAGCTCTCTTACTTTAAAATTAGGGACAAATAGTGAAAATAGCCCTTGGGTTGCTTAGCTTAAAAATCAATAAAAAAACAGCAACAAGAAAAATGTTTGCTCCAAGCTCTTACAAGTTTTCTTAAATCAAAAAACTGTTACATTTCGTAATTCTCTTCTCGGTTTTAATTATAGTTCATCTTACCATCAAATATGCTTTGAAACTTTACATTATTCAGTTAGACCTATTGTATTGTATATCTCATTATTCACATTTTATTACAACTAATAAATCTAGACCTGTATGTATTTTATGTCTTATAATGTCTAACATGTAGCTGGTGAAGCACACATCATTAATGTTAATAGGTATTTTACTTCAAAAACATCAGTATTAATGTTAGTTATATTATTATGTCTATCCCAGTTTGGATTTTCAGAAGGAAAAGCACATAATTGCATTTAAACTTTCAAACTACATTTTTTTTGTATGCCACAGCCAAAATGAGATGTTTTGCTCCATGTCTGGGCACATCAAGCATACTAAGTAAAATGTGATTAACATTGTTAATAACTGTATTGTCATTAAATATGTCACTTATTAACAACTAAAAAAAAACCTTGCATTGCCAGCCTTATGATATTCCTATTGAAATATTACTGATCCAAGAAACCATATGAGGATCTGTCAAAATGGAAATAAAAATCCAATTTATTTGCATATGTTGAGTTTTACTTCCTAGCATGCAGTATAATGTTAATAAACTTTGATTAGGATTGTGTTATGTTTTTGTTTTTATATTTGGCTTTTGTGTTTAGTCTCGAAATAAACAACAAAAGTGTTTAAATCCAAAGTTGAACACTATTTCCAACAACACAGTCACTTAAATTTGTAACTGCATACATTAGTGTTTGGTATGAAAACCCTTTACTCTTTATAGAGCCGGAAACCTGGTCAACATGTTGTGTGAATTATTGATGAAAGGGCATTGCATATACCTTCATATACACTGTAGTTTGTCACACAATTTCACTGGTTGCTTGGTTGCCTCTAAACCTTCTCTTTATCCAAGTAAGTCCAAACTTCTTCAGTGATGTTCAGATCTGAACTCTGGATAGGCCAGGGCAGGATTATTTGTGTTTGAACTACCTGTTTCTTCTCCTTGTAGGTTTTTTACCATGTTGGTCAGATCATTATTCTGCTGATTCACACACCTGTGATCAATTAGGCACATTCCTAATGGAATTCCATATTGAATTAGAATCTGTCTGTGTTTTTCTGCTGTCAGTGTGTCATTTTTCTGCTAAGTCTAACACCACTGAAAGAGATGCTAATGCAAAGCTACATAGATTCTCATCCATTTTACTATGTAGTTGTTATACTTTGGTAACAGTACTATCCTCATTTCTGTTATTGAATGTACTGCCATTGACTATTGCTGAACAAATCAAACTTTGACTCACTGACAAACAGCACCCTTTGCAGGGCTTGAACTTAACATCTTATTTGTGGTAGCCAGCTGGGCTAGTAGAATAAGAAATCAACTAGTTCTGTGGGATTTCTACTAGCCAAACATCAAGTTATCGAATGCACTATTGCAACAACATAATCACTTTCTTGAAGGGAGTTAGTTAATGACAAAACCTGTTATGCTGTTGAATACTGCATCTAGAAAGACAAAATTTATAACACACCACTTTCATTTGTCAGTATTCTAATTTAAAAAATCCCAAAGATCAGCCTTCCCAAATTCATTACATTGATAGAAAACAAAGTAAACAGCCAATCAGGGGATTTCAGTAATTGAAATAAGCATCACCTAAGCTTTTAATAGTTGCTCATTTTAATTTTTTTATGAAATTCAAACAGTGAGATATAGGAGAAAAAGGAATATCTTGAAAATACAGTTCACTAGAAATGCATATTACTTAATGAGCTAAAATGGCTACTGCTTTTTCATGGATTCATGAAGTAATTTGTCACCTAAATTTCTTTTATGAAAAATCGGTAAAAGTTAATATTGTTACGACAGCGGAAGTTGCACGATGCTGGGAGCATGCACTGGAGTTCTAGAAAGATTGAGGAGCCTGTCCAATGTCCTAGCCTTTGCTAGACACACGCTTTTATAGTATATAAGCCGGCAAATAAAGTTACTGTAATAATTGAATTGCAAACAGAGACATATAGAGACAGATAATTGAGTCAAGCCATAAGTAAAGTGCGCGATTCGTTGTGAATTCTAGCGTGTGTTTAAGTTAAAGTGACTGTGGAAACTAAGTGTACTGCAAAGTTGAATTGAGAAAGAATAAACTAGTTTTATTTAAGAAAGGACTTGTATCTCTGAAGTTCTTCGGAAATAATTTCTACGGAAAATTAACAAACAAACACAGAGACGTAACAAATTGGTGTCAGAGAGTGGGACGTAAAATAAAATAAAAAAAGAAGAAGAAGAAGATGGAAACGAGAGGTGGCAAATCAAACTACAGCTTAGCAGATTTGATGGCAGCAATACAAGAACAGCAAAAGAAACAAGAAGAGAGACAACAGCAGTTGCAAGAAAACCTGCAACAGTAGCAGCTCGAACAGCAAAATAAACAAGAAGAGAGATTACAGCAGTGGTTGGAGGAAAAAGAAAATAAACAAGAAGAAAGATTACAGCAGTTGTTGGAGGAAAAAAGAAGAGAAACAAGAAGAATGAGAAAAGAAACAAGAAGAGAGACAACAGCAGTGGCAAGAAAACCTGCAACAGTGGCAGCTCGAACAGCAAAGTAAACATAAGAGACTACAGCAGTGATTGGAGGAGAAAGAAAATAAACAAGATAAGAGGTTACAGCAGTGGTAACTGGAACAAGAAAGGAAACAGGAAGAAATTCTCCAACAGTTACAGGAAAGTCAACAACAGTGGAAAGAAGTACAAATGGAAAACATCAGTAAATTTCAAAGTGAATTAAATACCTTAAGATGATTTACTGTTTTTTACACAAGAAGGATATATTAGCCATCGACTTAATCAACCCCAGACAACGGCAAGCCCCTTCCAGACCCTGCAGCTAAACCCTAATGCAGACATCTTCAGTCCTGCCAGAAGTCAGATTCCAGCCATGAGTGTCAGCAGTAGGGGTAATCTAGTACGAAAGAACCCACAGGAATTCGTTGATGTCCTCAAAATGTTGCTGAGGGATCAGTTTGTAGATGCCTTGGACAGTCCACAAGTGAAGATACGAGTAAAGCAAGCCCACCCCTCTACTA